GGGGGGTTTGGAGTCTGGGGAGGGTGGGCTTTGGGGAGGTGAAGGATCTCTGTGGGTTATAATGCCAAAGAGTTCTCTCTCCAAAGCAGCCGTTTTCTCCAGGGGAACTGATCTCTGTTGCCGGAGATGAGCCATAACCCCAGGGGATCCCCGGGCTCACCTGGAGGTTGGCACCCCTAGGCTCAGAGGGGGGCGGGGCCTGGAGTTTTTCCCAGTGGGCTGGAGGGGGGCATCTCCTTTGCAAAAGGTGTTTGCGGCTGTCCTAGTCCAGGATCGAAATCCGGAAACAAACCACAATCCATGTGGGAGCCAGTTTGGTACAGGGGTTAAAGTGCGCGGACTCTGATCTGGGAGAGCCGGGTTTGATTCCCCCACTCCTCCACTCGCACCTGGCTGGATGACCTTGGGCAAGCCATAGTTCTGATAAGAGCTGTCCTTGAAAAAGAACAGTTTCTGTCAAGAGCTCTCTCAGCCCCACCTGCCTCACAGGGTGCCTGTTGTGGGGAGGGGAAGGGGAAGGAGATTGAGAGCCGCTCTGAGACACCTTTGGGTAGTGAAGGGCGGGGTGTAAATCCAATCTCCTCCTCCTCCACTTCTTCTTTTTCTACACTAGTTTGGTGTAGTGGTTAAGTGCGTGGACTCTAATCTGGGAGAACCAGGTTTGATTCCCCACTCCTCCTTCACTTGCACCTGGCTGGATGACCTTGGGCAAGCCATAGTTCTGATAAGAGCTGTCCTTGAAAAAGAGCAGTTTGTGTCAGAGCTCTCTCAGCCCTGCCTACCTCCCAGGGTGTCTGTTGTGGGGAGGGGAAGGGAAAGGAGTTCGTAAGCCGCTCTGAGACACCTTTGGGTAGTGAAGGGCGGGGGATAAATCCAATCTCCTCTTCTCTTCTCTTCTCCTCTTCAGACGAGCCCAAAAGACACAGCAGGGTGGGCAAGCTCTTTGGAGTTTCCTGCAGAATCCTTCATTAGGCCAGAAGTCCCAAAAGAGAAAAAGAGGCGGGGGGTGGGGGAGAAGAAGAGGTGTTTCAGGCCATGGTTCTAAAGGCCTTTTCTCACCACCATCTCTGCTTGGGGCAGGAAGGGAAGTAGAGTCAGCATCCCCTGGTGCCGTTGATGTCCTGTTGCGCCCCCCCCCCCGGGCCCCGTGAGCCAAGGAGAACGGACCAGCGGGGCCTCCCAGCCGAGACTGCAAAGGGTGGCGGCGGTGGCAGCCAAAGGGGGTCCTCGTGTCTCCCTGACTTCCCTTTCTCTCCCTGCTGCTCCCTCCAGGACAAGGGCTACTTCTGCCTGACCTACGAGGCCTCCATGACCCGGCTCTTCCGGGAGGGCCGCACGGAGACGGTGCGCTCCTGCACCCGCGAGGCAACGGCCTTTGTGCACTGCATGGAAGACCCAGACGGCAGTGTGAGTACAGAGAGGCCGGACTGGAGGGCCCCCTCCCCCTCCCCTCCTCCAGACCCCTCCCAAAGTGCCCCCCCAAGAGGCAGACCAATTTGCGGTGGCTCAGAGAACGTGGGGGGGGCGGGGGGATATCACCGATGAGCTCACCAAGCATCGCAGTCACCTTTGCCAAAGATAGAGTTGTCAGGTCTGGTCTGGGAAATACCTGGAGATTTTGGGGGCGGAGCCTGAGGAGGGCGGGGTTGGGGAAGGGGAGGGACTTCAATGCCATAGAGTGGCCAGGCTCCTTAGTCAGGTCAACACCACACAGGGCTTCATAAGAAGATAACTGTTTGTTAGTGGTTCCAGTACTAAAGAACACGTGTACAGCATTGTGTCAGGAATGGCCATCAGTACTAGGGCCTCGGACTTATAGTGAAATCAAACAGTCCCCCAGCAATGTTCCCTCTAAGCTGTGGAGTCTCGTGAGCAAAAAACTACTTTGTGAGCTACTGGCATTAAAGTTGTGAGCGAGCGATTTGGCTACTGAACAAATTAGTTTGCTCTGGAGCCATCCCTTCCTGAGCTGAGACAAAAATGTGTGAGCCGGAGGCTAAGAAACTGTGAGCTGGCTCAGACTAACTCAGCTTAGAGGGAACACTGTCCCCCAGTAAGCTTAAGCCAATGGAGATAGTTCTCATGTGCGGCAAAGCAAGTGGGCATAGCAGAGAAGCTGTTAAGTTTCCCATCTATGGAAGCTGCAGCTGGAACATCTGCAAGGTCAAGTGTAAAGAGCACACAGTAGCTGGGCAGGAGTGAGCTGAGAACGAGAAGGAGAGAGGGTACCCCTCCACATTCCAGATCTATGACAGGGCTACCTGACAAGAGTCCACCTTCCAAAGAGGCCATTTTCTCCAGGGGAACTCATCTCCTATCATCTGGAGATGAGTTGTAATCCTGGGAGACCTCCAGCTACCCCCTGGGGGTTAGCCACTCCAGCGAAAGATGCCAAACCGCCTGGGAGCCCGAAACGGTTCCTTGTATTGCAAAGGGCATCCAATCCCATGCCATCCACACCGGTCCGCTCCTCTCCACCCTGAGGATGCTCTGAGCCCAAATCCCAACAGTTGCCCGGTTCTCTTCTGAAGAACTTGAGCCGTGACTCACAAAGGAAGCTCCTCTCCCCTGCCAGAAATGTTGTCAGTCTTTCAGGTGCTCCGCGGCTCTGGCTCTTTTCTACTGCTGCAGGCAGACCAACACGGCTAACCATCTTGTCCTGAAACACCCCCCAAAAAAAATAATTTGGAAACCTTGTAAGGTGTATTTCTGTGCCTTCCATAAAAGATGTATTTTCTCAGGAGGCTGTTCTTGGGAGGCCGGAGACTTGCGGCTTGGATCCTCCCGCGCCCCGCTTCTGTTTGCTCCCGCTTTGCCTGCCGGGAGGGGGAGGCGGTCCCCCGCCCTGCGGCCTTTTGCTCTGGTGCTGGATGCTTTTTGGCTTCTGGCAGAATTCTGGGCTTGTGGGAAAGAGAGACACCAAGCCCTGCCTCTGCAGCAACAGAGTGGAAGGAAGCAGGAGATCTTCATTTGAATGTCCCGCCCCCTCTGGCTGCCGGATTCTCTTTTGCTCCCGCTGGGGGAAATGGGGTGCTCTGGTCCTGCCAGACCTGAACATCTGGACGCAGCTGTGCAGGCCCTCAGGACTGGTGGCCAGAAAGGCGGGTGGGCAGGCGGAGTGTGATCCTTAGAGCAGAAAAGGTTGGGCCGGACTACTGCAGCGGCTCATGGGAAAGGGAAATCCAAACACTAGAACTGTGACAGCAGCCATGAAATTAAAAGACGCCTGCTCCTTGGGAGGAAAGCGATGGCGAACCTCAACAGCATGATAAAAAGTAGAGACATCACCCTGCCAACAAAAGTCTGCATGGTCAAAGCAATGGTATTCCCAGTAGTCATGTATGGCTGCGAGAGTTGGACTATAAGGAAGGCCGAGCGCCGAAGAATAGATTCTTTTGAACTATGGTGCTGGAGAAGACTCTTGAGAGTCCCTTGGACTGCAAGAAGATCAAATCAGTCAATCCTAAAAGAAATCAACCCTGACTGTTCCCTGGAAGGCCAGATAATGAAACTGAAGCTCAAATACTTTGGCCACCCAATGAGAAGGGAGCACTCACTGGAGAAGAAGACCCTGATGCTGGGAAAGATTGAAGGTCAAAGAAGACGGGGACGGCAAAGGATGAGATGGTTAGACAGTGTCATAGATGCAACGAACATGAAATTGAGCCAACTTCAGAGGACGGCGGAAGACAGGAAGGCCTGGCGTGATCTGGTCCATGGGGTCGCAAAGAGTCGGACTCGACTGTGCGACTGAACAACAACAAAAAGGTTTCTCTTTAAATTAAACTGGGTGTTTATAAAATAGGTAGCTGCAGCTGTCACCAGGAATTTTCTAAATTCCAAATGCACTCTCAGCTTCTTATGTTGGTATTGTGACCCAGGGTCTAGGCTTTCAAGGGTCTCTGTGGTCCTGAGGAATAATTGATATGATTTCTGGGATTAACTTGAATAAAAGAGGATTTATTGAAAGGGGAACAAAATAAGAGGTTCGTTATTATGTAACTGGTTGGGAATAAGGTTCCTATAAATGAGCTTGTCAACTGTATCACTTTAATGCACATATACTGATCCTTCTCGGATACCACACAGATTCTTTCACCTCTCTCACTGACTGAATTTCCACTGAACAACTTCAACTGCTTTTTTTTCCCCAACTGTCTCTCCTAACTCTGACTTTCATACTTAACTTTCATAATTGACTGACTGACAGTCACACAGATCCACTTTAAAAACTCATAAGAACATAAGAGATGCCAATGTTAGATCAGGCCAAAGGCCCATCCAGTCCAACACTCTGTGTCACACAGTGGCCAAAAATACCAGTGCCATCAGGAGGTCCACCAGTGGGGCCAGGACATTAGAAGCCATACCACTGTTGACCCCCCCCCCCCAAGCACCAAGATGACAGAGCATCACTTGCCCCAGAGTCCCTATCTATACCTTGTGGCTAATAGCCACTGATGGACCTCTGCTCCATATGCTTATCTAATTCCCTTTTGAAGCCGTCCATGCTTGTAGCTGCCACCACTTCCTGTGGCAGTGAATTCCATGTGTTAATCACTCTTTGGGTGAAGAAGTACTTCCTTTTATCCGTTCTAACCCGACCGCTCTGCAGTTTCATGGAGTGCCCACAAGTTCATGTATTGTGAGAAAGGGAGAAAAGTACCTCTTTCTCTACCTGCTCTTTCCCATGCATAATCTTATAAACCTCGATCATGTCACCCCTCAGTCGTCGTTTCTCCAAGCTAAAGAGACCCAAGCGCTTTAACCTTTCCTCATAGGGAAACTGTTCCAACCCTTTTATCATTCGAGTTGCCCTTTTCTGCACTTTTTCCAAAGCTATAATATCCTTTTTAAGGTGTGGTTCTGCATTTCTGCCGGCAGCAGGGACTGTAGAGGGCCCCGTGGCCAAACGCTGTCTCTCTCAGAGGCCATGAGCTGCAGTGGAAGAAGACAAGACAGGGTTTGAGACGGCTTTGAGCCTGGTAGCCCCTTAGAGACCAACAAGGGTATTTTCAAGGGTCTGAGCTTTTGGGAGTCAAAGTTCCATTTGTCAGATACAAGACAGGTTTGGAGAGCGATCGAGAGGCAGCAGAAAGCTTTGGGGGGCAGCCATGGACTCCACCTTCCTGGGCTTTTGGCTGGAGGGGCTGGCTGGAAGGGCGGGCAGCAAAGAAGCCTTCTGAATGACGCCCCCTTCTTTCTCTGGAGCCAGCCTTGGTAGGCAGAATGCCAAGGGAGGTGCCCCAGCTGGGAAGGCCGGGGGAGGTGGAGCAGAACCTCTGGAGCCTTCTCTGGCAGCTGCCATCTCTGGAGCCAGCCCAGGTGAGGCCCCTGAACCTCTTTGTTTCCCCACAGCCGTCCGAGTGCCTGAAGCTCTTCCGGGAAGCCGCTGAGAAGCACCAGAACCTGTACCGCCTGGCCATGACCGGGGCTGGCATCGACCGGCACCTCTTCTGCCTCTATGTGGTGTCCCGCTACCTGGGGCTGGACTCACCCTTCCTGGCCCAGGTGAGGACTGCTGCCGGGGGGTGGGGGGTGGGGTGGGGTGGCACAGCCTGCTCTGCCAGGCAACTCATACGAACATGAGAAGAACCCTGCTGCATCAGGCCAGTGAGGGTCCCTCTATTCCAGCATCCTGTCTCACACAGGAGCCAACCAGTTCCTCTGGAGGGCCAAGAACAGGGCAGAGAATCCAAGGCCTTCCCCTGAGGTTGCCTCCTGGCTCTGGGATTCAGAGGTTTAGTGCCTCTGAACATGGAGGTTCCCTTCAGTCACTGTAGCGAGCAGCCACTTATTGACCTCTCCTCCATGAATGGACTTTATCCCCTTGTCAGGCTTCCCCACAGCATCAATGACGTACACTCTTGTAGAAAGGTTTTACTTTATTTGAAGCTATAGGTGCATGTACAGGATCACTGTTAGGAATGAGGGAAAAGCAATGAGCATGACAGGTTATAGTACATTCAAACAGTTGAGGCTCAATTGCGGGACTTCCCGCGCGCGCCATCGGGCCTGGGAGCAAACGATTCTAGTTAGCAAAACAAATCTTCCCACGGCTCTCCATGAGATCACCCCAGCAACTATCTAGCAGCGAACCACCCATGGCCTTGAGCGATATACATGTTCCAGCAGCCAACTACCTGTGGCCTTGAGAGATATACATGTTCCAGCAGCCAAGCAATTAAGCGCATCAACAGGTTTACATATGAACTCTAAAGCAGGCAAGCGCATACATGTAAAATACAGACAGAAAGAAAATTGGCAGCTTGCTGACACCCCTTTTAAAGCTGTTTATTCCTGCAGCCATCACTACATCCTCTAGCAGCGAATTCCACATTTTAATCACTGTCTGTGTAAAGCAGTGTTTTCTTCTGTCCGTCCTGAAACGATTGCCCATCAGCTTTGTTGGATGCCCTCGAGCTCTAATCTTTTGGGAGAGGGAGAACGATTTCTCTTTCTCCACTCTCTCCATCCCAAACACAATTTTAGAAAACTCTGTGATGGAACGCCCCTGCTCTGGCCTGGAGGGCCCATGTCCGCCCTGCCCTCCTGGGTTCTTCTCATATCTGGAGGGGCTTTTCTTCCACTTTTGGGTAGCTTACCACCACCACCTGACCACTGTATGGGATCGCCTTGCCTCTGTGTCTCCCGCTGCCCAGCACCTGGTCAACATGGGGATAGTTTACTGCCTCGGGTGTCCCTTGAGGAATAGCCACTTGCGGGCTGCCTGTCTTCCCCCGGTGCTCCATTTAAAATAGCGTGTCTGAGACAGTGGAGGTCTATGTGGTACAGAGTACCACGGCCAACATCCAAAGTTAGCACAGCACCAGATTGAGCAAAGGAACCAAAGGAAATGGGTAAAACACAAATCCTATGTCCCTCTCTCTATACATGCCCTATCAGATGTTAAAATAGGACAGGCTCCTTTTTCTTAGGAAGTTACAGATCTCTACAGCGTTTTCATTACCTTGAAGCTCCCTTCAGATGTCCAGGCCAACCACATGGGCAATGGCTGCCTTCCCAGCGGAGAGGTCTGTGTCCACTCCTGGATGCAGCACCCAAGGAAAAGAGATCTCCTTCCACCTGCAAGGAGTTTTTATCATGTTCATTTCCCCTCCCACTGACCCAGTCAAGCCAGGTCAAAGAAGCGTTTCCTGGAAATCCTAATCATTTCCTTCCTGGGTGTCCTTCTAGCATTTCATTCCTCCAGAAATCTATTAGCATTTCTTAAGAGGTAGCTGAGGTGAGCCTGGAAAGCCATTGACTGACTTCCTCCTTCCCAGCCTGGTCTCTGGAAGGCTTTGCTCACCTCAAACCTCCCAGGGGAAAAATGCATTTCTTCACACCCTCCCTCGTGCCCCCCTCTTAACCGTCTCTTTTCTGAACTGAAAAGTCCCAGGCTCTTCAGCCTTTCCTCATCGAGAAGGTGCTCCAACTCCCCGATCGTCTTTTTCGCCCTCCTCTAACTCTTTTGACAAGCGGGCTCTGCTGCGTTTGGCCAGTTTTGTGTGTCCGAAGCCGCCCTGGGGCGGTGGGAGGGGGGGCAGGAGGTCCCGCAAGCAGCCTGGCCCCGTGTAGTGGGAGCCCCACCCCAATCCGAAGCGACCCTGACCCTGCCCCCATCCGCAGGTGCTGTCCGAGCCCTGGCGCCTCTCCACCAGCCAGACTCCGCAGCAGCAGATCAGGATGTTTGACCTGGAGACGAATCCGGATCACGTTTCCCCCGGCGGTGGCTTTGGGCCGGTGAGTCTGGCTTGCTTGGGTCTCCCGAGGCCCCGAGACTGAGTGCGTGCATGCCAACAGACTCCAAAGGCTAGGGAGGGGCTGGGGGAAGGCAGAGCGTGCCCCGTGGGGGTCCATCCAGCGAGGGGGTTCCCCTCCCTGTGTTTCTGGCCACGCCTTTGCCTGGGGCCGGGCTATCCGACACTGTCCCTGCAGGTGGCCAACGACGGCTACGGAGTCTCCTACATCATCGCCGGAGAGCACCTCATCACCTTCCACGTTTCTAGCAAGCACTCCAGCCCGCAGACGGTGAGTGGATGGGAGAGGGAGGGGCCGTGCCGCTGGGCCGTCCAGCCCCTCCCAGACCGAGGTGGGGGGCCTCTCTAGAGCCAGTGGGGGTGTCGGTTGGAGGGATCCTGCCAGGGTGCCACTGCAGCTGTGGCAAGTCCACCCTCCCGAGCAGGGCCGGCCCCAGCTTATTTTGCACCCTAGGCAAGGATCCCTTCTGGCGTCCCCTGTGCACTGCCCCCTCCCCCCTCCCTCGGGTGCTGCTGCTGCTGCTGCTGCCACCACTGGCCAGAGGATTTCCGCACCGACTGACCAACTTTGCCCAGCTGCTGCCTCACCCAGCGCCTTTCCCGGCTCCTGCCGGCGGAGCCTCCCACAGGCTGGCAGGTCGCAGGAATGGGCCAAGCTGGGTAGGGGGGCTTTTGGCTGGGGGGCCGGGTGCAGTTTGACGCCCCTAAGGGCTGGCCCACTCTAGGCGAATGCCTAGTTTGCCTAGTGAGCGAGCCGGCCCTGCTCCCGAGACAAGGCAGGACTGCTTCTGAAAGGCTCCCATTTTCCGGACAGCCCCCGCCGAGGGTCCGTTCACAGACCTCCTTCCTTCCCCTTCTGCCGTGGAGGATCCCGGCCTTTGGCTGCGCTCGCTGTAGCTTGCATGCTTTCTTCTCTGGTGCTGATCTTGGCAGAGCTGCCAAGAGAAGGCCGGCAAGAGGGAAAGTGGCCACTGGCACAAAGAGGCAAGCACAAGAGGGGCACGGCCACGATCCTCACAGCGCACAGCCCCTGGCCAGTGCCACCATGGTGAAACACACGGCGCGTGTTTTTAGTTCCTTGCAGGCGTGAAGCGGCTGTCCTTCACTTTCCCAGCTCCATGGCTACCCACCTCCCCCGCCACTGAGGCTCTTGAGGAACGCTCCCTCTAAGCCGTGGGGTCCCGTGAGCAAAAATTCAACCTCGTGAGCTCCTGGAATTAAAGTTGTGAGCGAGCGAATTGGCTACTGCATAAATCGGTTTGCTTTGGAGCCTGAGCTAAGACAGAAATGTGTTAGCCGGAGGCTACAAAACTGTGAGCTAGCTCACACTAACTCAGCTTAGAGGGAACACTGCTCTTGAGAAACGCCTTCCCCCTGAGGAGTCTAACTGCATGCCCAGATCACCTCTAGGGATCCCGCTCCATGCTATTCCACTGCCTGAGGTGCTGAGGATGCTTACTCACCACAGGGACTTTTTGGTGGTGGCCCCAAAGCTGTGCACCTTCCTCCCCAGGGATGTCCCTCCTGCTCCGCCTTTGGACATCCACTCCAAAGAGTCTTGTTTCACAGGGCTCTTCCCCCTGGCCGTGTCCAGCTCTCTTGTCTGGCATGAGCTGTTTAACGCTGTGTCTGCTGCCCCACCTACTTGACGGAACCAAAACCGGGGGGGGGGGGGACAATTCCAAATGAATGAGTAAGATGGTGCCTTCTGTAAGCTGATCTGCAGGCAGGGGGCGGCTGTGCTCTTCAGCCTCAGAGTCCCTTCTGATGCGATCAGTCTGAATCTGTGGGAGCTGCACCCAGGAGCATTTAGGCCTGGGAAGGGACTGTGGCTCAGAGTGGAAGAGCCCCTGCTTGGCATTCAGAAGGTCCCAGGTTCAATCCCTGGCAGCATCTCCAGTTAGAAAGGACCAGGCGGGAGGTGATGGGAAAGACCTCCGCCTGAGACCCTGAAGAGCTGTCAAGAGGGGCCGTGGCTCAGTGGCAGAGCCTCTGCTTGGCACGCAGAAGGTCCCGGGTTCAATCCCCGGCATCTCCAGCTAGAAAAGGACCAGGCAGGAGGTGATGGCAAAGACCTCCGCCTGAGACCCTGAAGAGCTGTCAAGAGGGGCCGTGGCTCAGTGGCAGAGCCTCTGCTTGGCACGCAGAAGGTCCCGGGTTCAATCCCCGGCATCTCCAGCTAGAAAAGGACCAGGCAGGAGGTGATGGCAAAGACCTCCGCCTGAGACCCTGAAGAGCTGTCAAGAGGGGCCGTGGCTCAGTGGCAGAGCCTCTGCTTGGCACGCAGAAGGTCCCGGGTTCAATCCCCGGCATCTCCAGCTAGAAAAGGACCAGGCAGGAGGTGATGGCAAAGACCTCCGCCTGAGACCCTGAAGAGCTGTCAAGAGGGGCCGTGGCTCAGTGGCAGAGCCTCTGCTTGGCACGCAGAAGGTCCCGGGTTCAATCCCCGGCATCTCCAGCTAGAAAAGGACCAGGCAGGAGGTGATGGCAAAGACCTCCGCCTGAGACCCTGAAGAGCTGTCAAGAGGGGCCGTGGCTCAGTGGCAGAGCCTCTGCTTGGCATGCAGATGGTCCCAAGTTCAGTCCCTGGCATCTCCAGTGAGTAGACAAGACTTACCCTGATGACCCAAAGGTCTGATTCAGGAGAAGGCAGCTTCATGTGTGTGTTCCATTCCGAAATCTGGAGGTGCTCAGAGGCCTCGGGAGCACACTGCCAGCTCTGTGCCCAGGGAAGCCCGGGAGGAGCGTACTAAGGACTGGTGGTGCAAATGCTCCAGGGCAAAGGGGAGGAGGTCCCTTCCTCTGGCTGGCCCTGGCTGCCTCCTCCTGCTCATGCCGGCCATGCCCTGCTGGCCCTGCAGGGGTCTGTGACTGGCGAGGGGTCTGGGCAGTTGGCTCCCACGGCCCTGAGAGGGCTCCGACGGGGACCCTGGAGACCTGGTCTTCTCTTCCCCTCCCTGCAGGACTCCAAGCGCTTTGGGAGGAACATCCGCCAGGCATTGCTGGACATTGCGGCCCTCTTTGACACCCCGCCCAGGAAAATGGCCAACTGAGGGGGGGGGCCCTCACACCCCATGCCACTGAAGACGGCCCCAGCAAGCTGCCCACTGGCCACAGAGCACCCAGCACACGGAGGGAGAAGGTGGTTCCTGGACCCCAGGTCAGACTCCAGCCTCTCTACACGTCTGTGCCCTGCCCAGGACCCCCCCCCCACAGTGGACCCCGGAGGATGTGTGGGGAGGAGGGGGGGGGGAGAGCTGATGTGATGTCAAAGGATAAAAGAGGATAATTTCTGGCTGCCTCTGGTGTGTGGATGGGCAGGTGATGGATGGGTCTCTCTCCGTGGTCTCCCTCTGCCTCAAAACAGGTGGGAAAGGAGGAGGGGGTTGAACTGGGGCGGGGGGGGGAGCCGCCTGGAGGCGTCAGTGGGCAGCTTCGGAGGCTTCAGAAGGAAGATGCGATGACCTGCCGACAGCTGAGCTTCTGAGAACATCCGAAGAGCCCTGCTGGAACCGACTGGTAAGGGTCCACCTGGCCGAGCATCACGTGTCCGCCGGCGGCAGGGAGCTCAGGCCACGGCCCTGGCCCACCCTCTCCCCAGCCCTTGGAGTGGAGCCTCTCTGGGTGTGGAAACAACCAGAGCCGAGCACGAGGCTGTGACGGTCGTGGCAGTTTCCTTCTGGTGCCCCCAAACAGGGAGGTGGCCTCGATGAAAACCACTGCTGCTGCCCACCGAGCCCACGTTTCTGGCAGCCGGTCCACCACCAGGGAAGGCCTTCTCTTGGTCCGTCAGCCTCAGTTCAGTAAGTCCATGGAATGAGCGGGTTTGGTCCCAGCGTGGCTGACTGGGTGCCGGCATTCGCTTCCGTCCATCGTTTGGTTGCCCACTCACCCAGTCCGGAGAAGTCCTCCGGAGCCTCTCCCGGCCCTCTCAGGCTGTGAACCATGTGGCGACATCCACAGCTTTCACCCCCAGTTCCAGGCCATAGATGCGCAAACTGAATAGCGGTCGTCCCAACATACGACCCCCGGAGACTCCGCTGCCGCTGACCTCCCTCCACTGTGAAAACTCCTCCCTCCCCCCCCGCTTCCCCCTTTTAACCAGTCCCCCCCCTTTTTAAAACACAAGAGTGGATGTTAAATTACATACTTGTGATAGAAGAACACCAGTTTCATTTCTGAGTTCTTTAAGCACTCCCGGGTTATACCATTTGGACCTGGTGACTCATGGACTTTATTATTATTATTATTATTATTATTATTATTAATAGCAGGACCGTCCCAAGGAATGCTGTGCAGTTCTGGGTGGCTGGTCCTGAGCTCTGATTTCGTCAGACCCTTTAAGCACATGGGCACATATGCCACATCGGCCGAGTGCCGCAGGGGCCTCTTACCCTCCCTGGTGGCCCCTGGAGGCTCAGAGCCACGGAGATCGGGGCAGACGTGTGAGAGCGCCGCAGATAAAGCTTTCAAATAAGAAACAGGGTGTGTTGCCCCAGGGGTGGCTGGAGCCGGGTGGCTGGAGCCAGGCGGCCAGTCAGTGTGGGGGCAGGGCTGCAACGGGCATGTAATTCATCTGTAAAAAGGTAAAGGTTCCCTTGCTCGAAAGCCAGTCGAGTCCGACTCTAGGGTTGCGGTGCTCATCTCCGTTTCAAAGCCGAAGAGCCAGCGCTGTCCGAAGACGTTTCCGTAGTCATGTGGCCGGCATGACTAAACACCAAGGCGCAGGGAACGCTGTTACCTTCCCACCGAACTGGCACCTATTTATCTACCTGCAATTTCTTGCTTTCGAACTGCTAGGTTGGCAGGAGCTGGAACTAGAGACGGGAGCTCACTCCGTCATGCGGCAACTTGGGTCTCTGAACCTTCCACAGCCTGCAGTTCAGCGTCTTAACCCCTTGAGCCACCGCAGCTCATCTGTACCCCCTGCTGACGTCATTCTCCTCCATTTTGTCCTCACAGAAACCCAGGGAGGAAAGTTAGGCTGAGAGAGAGCGACCAGCTTGAGATCACCCGGTGGGCTTCCGTGGCATGAGTGGGCATTCGAACTCAGCTCTCCCAGATACTAGTCTCAGACGGGTCACCTTTTGAGTCTGTCTGTAGCAGGAGAAAAGAGCAGGAGTCCAGGAGCACCTTGAAGACGAACAAAATTGGTGGCAAGGGAGGGGCTTTCATGAGTCACAGCATAAGCTGTGAACCACGAACGCTCCTGCCCCGCCCCACATTTTGTTACTCTTGAAGGTGCTCCGGGACTCTTGCTCTTTTCTCGATACTCGTCTGACACTCTTGACGATGGGGTCTGCAAAGGAAGTCCCGAAGAGTCCACTGAAGCTGCATTTGAGCACCCGCTTCAACCAGGGCTCTTCCATTGGTTTGAATAGGAATGTTCTTGAGAAGGTGGTGCCTTTTAAAATACCGTTTTTACGGACTTCTCGCAGCTAACTTCGAAAAGGGCTTTGGGGAGCCGAGGTCCCCTATTCTAAGTGTGCCATCGTAGAGAAGTTCCGCTTGCCATCGTCTGTGCCGGGCATAAGCTCTGTGCCTCGAACCAGCTGCACAGCAGGCAGAAATCCAACCTGTGCAGCTCTTCTGCTCTGCCTGCCCACCCCAGGCACAAAGGCGCTCTCCCCCCCCCCCCCCCCCCTTTTTACCCCCCCGCTGGTTTTCTACCCCAAACTTTCCAGTGTGCAGCCCGCCCCCCGCCCCCGGCCTTCCTGGGGAAACACAGGGCTCTTGCAAAGAGAGAGAAAAGCAGCAGGTCTACGCAAAATCCACAGGGCCACGGAGGGAGAGCCAGGCTGGCCTCGGGTTTCGTGGCAGGCGCAGCCATCGCAGGGACTGAAGACGCCAGACGCAGTTCTGTGTGCTCAGGGAGGGGTTTATTGCCAGTGTCAGAGGGATGGGCCGGGAACGAAGGAGTTGGGAGGTGACACACACGAGGGCTGCAGAGGAGGGGTCACATGCAGGACCTGGGGGGGGGGCCTGTGTCAGCCACACCGGTGCTTCGCCTACAGCTTGCAGAGGAAAGGGTTCCGGTCATTGCAGGAGTCGTTGTCCCACTCCATGAAACCTGGAAGGAGGAAGGAGGATCAGGCCCGGCACGGGACGGCAGGGGGCCCTCCTTGCCCCCAATCCAGCTGAGGCCCCCAGCCTGCCCTTTGGCCGCGCCCAGGCCACGCCCTCCTCCGTGCCCAAGCGATGCCTCCCAAACCCAGCCATGGGCATGGCTTCCCGTGCCCCCAAAGTCACCGTCCACCGATGGAGACCCCAGAGGGTGGCTTTCTAGGGGGGCTGGCTCTGGGCTCAGAGGTTCGGGGGATATCTGGGGGCGGGAGGGGCCTCGCTGGGCTGGAATGGCCCAGAGTCCACCCTCCAAAGCAGCCACTTTCTCCAGGGGAACTGAGCCCCCCCCCCCCGTGACTGCAGGCAGGCAGAAGCTTGAGGTGGGGGGGGAGGCAGCTTCCTGCCCCCTGTCTGTCCTCAGAGCAGCAGATTGGGGGGGAGAGAGAGAAATTCACTCAGGGACCCCTTCCGTCCTCTCCATGGCAGGGAACAGCACAGCTTGGATTTCTGCCTGTCCTGAGGTTACGCAAAGGTGCATGCAGCAAGCCCGGCCTCAGAGGTGGGGCCTTTGCATCTCCCCCCCCCCCCCCCCCTGCCCTTGCCCCGGGGGCACCGTGCACTTCCTGCTGCTCCCCCTCCCCCTCACGGAGCTCGCTCTCCCTCCCCCTCCAGCCTCCCGGGGATTGCTTCAATTCGCAATTACAACGTGGAAACAATATAAGGCCATTGTAGCGGAGGGGGGTTCTTCGGTCATGCTGTTTATGTGACCTGCCCTCTCATTATCAAGTGGCAGTGAGTTCCGCAGTTTAGTGATCTGAATACGTCCCCGTGCCGCGCCCCAGGCAAAGCTGCCTGTCTGTCACCCCCCCCCCTGAAATTTGCTCAGACATCCCTCCCCACTCACCTGCATCCTCGTCCAGCTGGGCGCAGTGCTCGTTTCTTGCAAAAGGAGAGGGCTTGGACCTTTCCCAGGCGGTGTAGCTCACCGGGCTGCCGTCAGCCCAGACCCACCCCCGGCTCTGCGAAGGCGAGAGAGAAGGAAAGGAATGTGGAGAGGGAACCGCTTGGCTCTTCCCCTGTGTGGCTCTTGACCCATTCTCTGCAGTGTTCCCCCTAAGCTGAGTGAGTGTGAGCTAGCTCACAGTTTTTTAGCCTCCGGCTCACACGTGTTTGTCTCAGCGCAGGAAGGGAGGGCTCCAGAGCAAACTGACCGATGCAGCAGCCCAATCGCTCGCTCACACGTTGAGTGCCGGCAGCTCCCAAAGTGGGATTTTTGCTCACAAGACCCTCCACAGCTGAGAGGGAGCCTTGGGCTGGAACCCAGGAGGGGCCCTCACTCACCCTCGAAGGGATAGAGAACCCGATCCACACGTTCTCGTCGTCCGCTTGGGTACGGTGCAGGAAGTCCGCGACGGCGTAGTGCTCGTTCTTGTCCAGAATGGAAGCCAGGCTGGCCTTCTGGCGCTGGCAGTGAGCCTGGGGGGGGGGTGGAGGGGGAGAGAGGAAAGAGGAGACCCTCCTGCCAAGCTGCCTGCCCTGCAGCAAGACCGACCGTGCCAAGTCACAGCCACCCCCCACCCCACCACCCAAAGTTTGACATCTTATGCTGCAAAGTGCTTTATCTTGATTGGACAGTCCTAGATGGGTCCCCCACAACTTGTCCAGCTCTGGGGTTGGGACCAATGTCCTTTCCACAAGTAACAATGAATTGCATTGGTTGTCTTCCCACCTTCGTCGCCACTGAAAAGTACTGGGTTCGCCGCATGGAGGACTTGGACGACGACATGCAGTTGCACACGTTTATTACGTACTTAACATGAAGACAACAACGGCCCTGCAAGGCCAACTATATACACCCCCGTCCACGGGCCTCCCACTCCATTGGAGGGTTTGAATTTCCCGCCACGGAGCCCATTGGCCAGCTAGGGTGGGGAACTAGGATCCGAGGTCCTATTGTCCTGAGGAGCCAAGCTCCGACCTTTCTTGCGGGTGCCTTGTGGCGGACCGCATACATAACACCTGTGCACCCGGAAGAGGTGAGCAGTGGCTCACGAAAGCTCCACACCCTGCCACAATTTTTTGCAAGTCTTTACAGTGCTGCTGGACGGTTGCTCTTTTCTACGGTGTTTGTAAGAAAGAGCAAGCGCCTTCTATATGAAACCAGGGACCAATACCTAGATAAAGGCAGGATTCAAATTGCATGTTCAGTTGCACATGTGTCGAACGTATAACGAGAGTACACAGATCCAGGGTAGACTGTACAGGGTTCCAATTCTGGGTTGGAAAATTCCTGGAGATTGGGGGTGGTGGAGTCCGGGGTTTGGGAGGGGAGGGGCCTCAGCAGGGTGCAGTGCCACCAAGCCCACCCTCCAAAGCAGCCATTTGCTTCAGGGGGGACGGGCCTCTCTCATCTGGAGAACAGTTGTGGTTCCAGGAGAGCTCCAGGCACCACCTGGAGGCTGGCAACCTAATACGCTACGTGGCCCGTTCACTATATCTTGTGAGCAGGGCTTGAACTTGTTGGAAATATTCACGTGTAGACAAGGCACACCCCATTTCCCTTGATTTGGGAGCAGGGTCCAGCCCCCTTCTGCCAACCGCTGCAGGGAGGATTCTGGGAATCAGAGACAACTGACACCCCCACCCCCGGTATTCCCCCTACTGAATTCCCAGGTCTTCCCCAACCCCCCCCTCCCTCCACACAGCCCTGGTGGCAGAAGAGAAAGAAGAGATTGGATTCCTACCCTGCCCTTCACTACCTGAAGCCGTCTCAGAGCAGTTTACAATCCCTTCCCACGACAGACACCCTGTGAGGTAGGTGGGGCTGGAAGAACTCTTGCGAGGACTGCCCTGGAGAGAACAGCTCTGAGAGAACTTGTGACTGACCCAGGGTCACACCAGCAGCTGCATGTGGAGGAGTGGGGAACCAAACCCGGTTCTCCCAGATTAGAGTCCGCACACATAACCACTACACCAAACTGGCACTCCTAACCGGGCTCTCCGCCCTCTGCCACTCACCTGCGCCTGCCTCCAGGTCACCTCCTGGGGGAAGTAGCCATAGCAGTTGCCGTTGTAGGAGAGCCAAGTTCTGGGGCACGCGGCCGCCTGGCCACCTGCATGGACAGAAGGGGTGGGGAGATGGAGAACCTCTCAGACACACACAGGGAAGGGGCAGGGAGGGATTGGTCTCCCCCCCCCCCATTCCTCCCCCCCCCCCCCCCCCCGGTGTGAGGGCCATCTCTTGAGCCTGGACTGTCTGGGACGGTCCCTTCCGTGTGGGAAGCCCAAAGAGAGAGGGAAGGGAAGAGACGCAAGTCTCCAAACTAGGGACCCTGCGGGGTACTCACGGCTCACGAAGGGTCCGATCGCAAGGCAGACAAGGAGGCCCAAGCTGAAGTGGGCAGGCAGCACCATCTTCCAGATCCTTCACCTGGGGAGGGAAGGAGGAAGACCTCGTTGAGGTCTTTATGAGCAAAATGTTAGGAGCAGGAGGGTATCAGTCAAATTTCACACTCGCATGGGGGGGGGGCTCGTTCTGGCTCTTGTGCATTCCTTCCTGAGTGCCACGGTGAGGCTCACTGCAGCAGGCCTTGCCTGACCCGCCTGGCCATCCCCTTTGGTTCTGTGGCACTCCAGGTGGCTTTACCTTTGGTTCTGTGGCACTCCAGGTGGCTTTACCAGCCACCAGTCAGGAGGGATGTTCTCGGCCTGGGCTCTGAGACGGGCAGGCTGACCTTCCCACCCGAGTTGGCTTCTGGCAGCCGCCAGGGACTCCGCCATGCAAAGGGGAGGAAGGCCCTGGCCCCCAAGGGGCTGACCCGGGAGAGAGGACAGAATGGGGAGCCCTGACCCACCCCAGGACCAGTGTTCCCTCTAAGCTGAGTCAGTGTGAGCTAGCTCACAGTTTTTTAGCCTCCAGCGCACAGATTTTTGTCTTAGCTCAGGAAGGGATGGGGCTCCAGAGCAAACTGATTTATGCAGCAGCCAAACCGCTCGCTCACAGCTTTGATGCCAGTAGCTCACAAAGTAGGATTTTTGCTCACAAGACTCCACAACTTAGAGGGAGCGTTGCCCAGGACCTTTCCGTTCAGCGGGTCAAGACAGCTGCATGCCACCACCAGGTACTGCAACCATCTGTTAAGCACTCTGCCACACTCCCTGGTCTCCAAGGTGCTTGGATCTAATCTACTCAAGTGTCTTTCTGAGGCTCGTGAGTGAAGTTCTGAAACAGGATTCTCTCCTGCAAGACAAAAGCCGCCACTCCTGGTAGGAAAGAGGGCCCTTTTCATGCAGTCTGCTAAAGCAGCAGCCGGGGAATTCTGAGTGGCAATCTTTGCTCTTCGCCTGAGCTCTCTGATCAAACAAAGAGGTATCTCGGGCTGCAGGGCTGATTTCCAAAGGTGAGAAGCATCCATTGATGGGTCCAGCGGCCCCTTAGAGACCAAAAGGCTTTTTTTAGGGGGGGGGGGAGATATGAGTTTTCAAGAATCAAAGCTCCCGTTGTCTGAGCTCTGACTCTCGAAACCGGCCTGGAAAAGCTGGACTCGCTTCGGGTTGGCTCTTCTAGGGCAGACCGACACGGCAGGCTAACCCTCTGAAAGGGATCCCAAAGGGGCAGGCCCTTAGCCAGGGCTTTGTGGCTTGTGGGGCAATTTTTTCCCCTGCTGGGGCCGAAGTTCTCAGTGCAGAAAGAAAAGCCAAAATTCTTAGCCCCAGAGTGGGACAACAGCAGGCTGAAAAAGGGAGGGGCAGGGAGAATAAACGTTCTGGTAGATGGTGGGCCTGGCTGGCCCTTGAAATACGGGTCTGGGTTTGGCCAGTAAACTCACTGCAGTGTGTATAAAAACACATAAAACCTTGTCTACAAAAACAAAGGAGGAACAACACATAGAGGGGTGGGGGAGAGAATGTATACCTCACAGCAAGGAAGGCAAAGCAAAAAACCCCTCTTCTGTTCAATACTTTGCAAGGGGTCAGTGGCAGCTGGAACCAGCCAAAGGCTTGTGGCAGGGCTCTGTTGAGAGGTCAGGGGGGGAGGAGGGGGCCTGCTGCACAAGATGCGCATCCGAGGAAGGCACCGAACTGGCAGAGCTCCTCCGCGAAGGGGGGGGAGCGCTTGCCCCCAACAGCAGCTTCTCCTGGCCGCTCCTGCAGTGGCCCCAGGCTCCTCTTGACTAAATTCCTGGCCTGCTTTAAAGGAACCCCCACCTTCCACCAGTGTTCCCTCTAAGCTGAGTGAGTGTGAGCTAACTCACAGTTTTTTAGCCTCCAGCTCACACATTTTTGCCTTCGCCCAGGAAGGAGGGCTCCAGAGCAAACTGATTTATGCAGTAGCCAAATTGCTGGCACACAACTTTAATGCCAGTTGCTCACAAAGCATAATTTTTGCTCACAAGACTCCGCAGCTTAGAGGGAGCATTGCCTTCCACTCACCCACCGATGGCTTTTTTCCCCTTGCAGCGCTCAGGGAGGCAGATGGTAAGGCAGGGAGGTACCTGTTTGTCCCGCTCTGTCTGTCTGGCCCAGAGGGAGGAAAGACGGTCAAGCTGTGGGAGAGGCCAGCCAGTCGCAGGGCATTTATAGACCGCCTGGGAGGGAGGAGGCCTGGCGAGGAGGAGGAGGAGGAGGAGGAGGAGGAGGCGAACAGGTGGCAGGCCAGCTGGCGGACAGAGACCAGACAGGCTTCGCCCCGCCTCTGACTGGGGGTCTGTCCTATTATCAGAGGGATCAAAGGCAGAGGCCCCCTGATGACAGTGCTGAAGGGGGGGGGGTTTGATGAGAAAAAGCAAAGCCCATACAAAATGCTGCAGTTTCTCCAGTTCTCAATGCCCTGTCAGTATTCCATACTTTTGCTTCAAAGCACCGGCGGCTGCCAGAAAACTTACCAGACGGCTGATATTATCAGAGATGTTGGGGGGGGGGAACAGTCCAGGGAAGGAATGTCAGCGGCCGTTGTCTCCTCACTCCTGTACCTGGCACCAAGGCTCCCTCTAAGCTGTGAAGTGTCTTGTGAGCAAAAATCCTACTTTGTGAGCTACTGGGGCATTAAAGCTGTGAGCGAGCGATTTGGTTACTGCATGAATTCGTTTGCTCTGGAGCCCCATTCTTTCTGAGCTAAGACACAAACGTGTGAGCCAGGGGCTAGGAAACTGTGAGCTAGCTCACACCAACTCAGCTTAGAGGGAACCCTGCCTGGCATGCTTCCGGGAGGGAGGGACAAGAAGGGAAGAGATCAAACAGGTGAAGGTTCCATGTGGGCAGCAGGATTCCTTGCAGGGCTGGAGCTCCCCAAAAACAGATGGGCGTCCTCATGGTGGGGGCCAGGAAGGGACAGGACGACTCGCTTCCTCCCCTCTGCTGGGCACCAGGCGGGAAAGGTGCCGTTCTAAGTCCTGTTAATAAACCTTTTCATCCTCGGGCATGTCAAGAAAACCCACCGATCCCCATCTTATTATACCTGCAGTCACAACTGCAAGAATATTGTATGCTACATATTGGAGAAGGAATGAGGTACTCGCAAGAGAAGACATCGTAAATAAAATGTTTGAACCCGCAGAAATGGACAAATGAACTTTAATCTTGAGAGGACAAACGGAAGGAAGTTTTTAGAATACTTGGCTAAGATGCTACAAATGGATTGAAGAATATAACAAATAAAATACATGGACATACAACCGATTTAGAAAGAATTAAGAGCTATATGTTTAAATCCTATGCAAAAGATCTATATAAAAATATAAGGCGGAACAAATACAAAATATAATTAGATATTGTATGAGCAATTTATGTATGTACGTTTGTCTGTGTTTGATTTGTCTCTTATAAAAAAAATTTTAAAATACAAAAAAAAAAAGAGAGAGAGAGAGAAGAAAACCCAACCGAAAACCCCAAGAGCTCCTACAGCAGAGGGGGCAACGCCAGCAGTCAGACCCTAAGCAGCCCCCACCCGTCAAGATTTCGGGGGCTTCATTGAGCCGCAGGGTCTTTGCAAACGCTTTGTTTGGAGGGGGGGGATGGAAGTGGGTGGAAAGAAGTCTGCAAAATGGGATTGTGTGTCACCCCTTTGGGAAACGAGCGCAGTAAATCATCTCCCGTGTCAGTCCTAGGTCTGTCCTGCCTTTGGTCTGCTTCTTCCCTGAGTGTGCTGCTGCAATGCTGAAAAGGGCCAGCTCCCTAGTGGGACCTATTAGGAAAGGGACTGAAAATCAGGCCTCTGCAGAGATCTCAGGCCTCATGTGGAATACCATGTGTGTTGTTCTGGCCACCATATCTCAACAGGGATGTTGCAGAGATGGGAAAAGTACAGCAGAGGGCAACCCAGAGGCTCCGTGGGTGGCTACTGGCCATGGGGGAGGGAAGGCCGCGTGGAGGAGCCCAAGACCACCTGGGCCTCTGGAAGCAAAGCAGGGCGGGTACTCGGATGGGAGGCCACCAAGGAAGGCTCTGCTGGGGGAGGCCACAACAGACCCTCTCTGCTATACCAGTTTGGTGTCGTGGTTAAGTGCGCGGACTCTAATCTGGGAGAACCGGGTTTGATTCCCCACTCCTCCTCCAGTCGCACCTGGCTGGATGACCTTGGGCAAGCCGTAGTTCTGACAAGAGCTGTCCTTGAAAAAGAGCACTTTCTGTCAGAGCTCTCTCGGCCCCACCTACCTCACAGGGTGTCTGTTGTGGGGAGGGGAAGGGAGAGGAGATTGTAAGCCACTCATAGACACCTTTGGGTAGTGAAGGGTGGGGTATAAATCCAGTCTCTTCTTCTTCTTCTTCTAATCTGGGAGAACCGGGTTTGATTCCCCACTCCTCCACTTGCACCTGGCTGGATGACCTTGGGCAAGTCGTAGTTCTGATAAGAGCTGTTCTTGAAAAAAGAACAGTTTCTGTCAAGAGCTCTCTCAGCCCCACCTGCGTCACGGGGTATCTGTTGTGGGGAGGGGAAGGGAAAGGAGTTCGTAAGCCACTTTGAGACTCCCTTGAGTAGTGAAGGGGGGGGGTATACATCCAATCTCCTCCTCCTCCTCTTCTTCTCTCTCTTTTTAAATGTATATATTTGTGTGTTCGTGTGCTGTTGCCTGGAAGTCATGGTTGATGTCTGGCGACCCCTGCTGGGACACTGGACATTTTTCAGGTAGGTGGCTTGATGAGACGGCCTCTGCGTCCCGCGTCTGGATATCCGTGGAGGTCGCTCTCCCAAGTGCTTTCCGGAGTTGGCCCTGCTTAGCTGCTTCTCACTTGCCTGGGAAGCCCCTTGTGACTCGGCAGCGCTCCTCCTGTGCCTGCTAGCCGGGGTGACTGAAGGGGGCCTCCACAGAGGCAGCAGCAGACCTCTGGACCCCCCCCCCCAGTGAGGAGGCAGCGTCAGGGGACAGGTTAGGGTTGCCAACTCTGAGTAAGGGTATTCCTGGAGATCTGGAGGTGGGGCCTGGAGAGGGCAGAGTTTGGAGAGTCTGCTGCGGCAGGGAACTTTTGGGGCAAAAGAACTCCACCAGGGCGTGGAATAGGTAGCACTTCTGAGAAGGCTACCTTGGAGGTCCTGGGCCTAAGTTTCCTGCCCAGCAGCCTAAATTTCCTGAGGGCACCTGGTATTTCTGGCCACTGTGTGACACAGAGTGTTGGGCTGGATGGGCCTTTGGCCTGATACAACATTGGCATCTCTTATGTTCTTATGTTCTTATACCCAACCCAGGTTAAAATTTCTCTCCGGTATTTAATCAGACTTAAGTTTCTCTTCAGACTCTGAGAACATTGTATTCTTGTTAGCTCATCCCAATGCCAATATATCTTGCAGAATGGCTTTATATGCCTTGGCTGCCCTAGGCTCTTTGTCTTCCCTGTAAAGTAATTTGATCTCGACAAGAAAAACCACATAAATACAAAGGGTTTTAAACGGGGGAGTATATTTACTTGTTTTATAAGAATTATGAAGCCAGAATGCCAGCAGGGGGTTGGGGGCTATCCAGTGTTTTGCACGGAGTGTCACATGTATGACTATCTGCCCACTGGACAGAAGTCTTGGGTGTGTGCTCGGTGCAAGGAGCTCCTGATTCTCATGGAACGTGTGTGCTCCCTTGAGGCCAAGGTGGCTGACCTGTCACCAGAGGTCGCCTTGGCTTCCAGGTGTGCGCTTGCACATACACGCACACACATGTAGAAATAAAAAACATAAGAGAACATAAGAGAAGCCCATGTTGGATCAGGCCAATGGCCCATCCAGTCCAACACTCTGTCACACAATGGCCAGAAATACCAGGGGCCAGCAGTGGGGCCAGGACACTAGGAGCCCCTCCCACTGTTAGCCCCCCCCCCAAGCACCAAGAACAGAGAGCATCACTTGCCCCAGACTGAGAGTTCCTATCTATACCTTGTGGCTAATAGCCACTGATGGACCTCTGCTCCATATGCTTATCTAATTCCCTTTTGAAGCCGTCCATGCTTGTAGCTGCCACCACTTCCTGTGGCAGTGAAGGCTGCTCTGAGGTTATGATTATCTATACTAACTAGGTAGGAGTATCTAAAATGGGCATTACTCCATAATCCAGCGAACGTTGGCAATTTGATCTCTAGTTCCTCTACCTCTTCGAAACCCAGCTTGTACTTCTGGCAGGTCTCTATCCATGTACTGTTGAAGCCTAGCTTGTAGGATCTTGAGCATGACCTTGCTAGCGTGTGATATGAGTGCAATTGTGCGATAGTTTGGACATTCCTTGGCATTGCCCTTCTTTGGGATTGGAATGTATACTGACGTTTTCCAATCCTGTGGCCACTGTTGCGTTTTCCAAATTTGCTGGCAAATTGTGTGCAGCACTTTAACAGCATCATCTTCTAAGACTTTGAATAGCTCTGCTGGAATACCATCACCTCCACTAGCTTTGTTGTTAGTAATGCTTTCTAAGGCCCATTTTACTTCACATTCCAGGATGTCTGGCTCGAGGTCAGTGATTATACCGTCGTGGTTGTCACAGTGTCATCGATGCAACGAACATGAAGTTGAGCAAACTTAAGAGGACGGCGGAAGACCGGAAGGCCTGGCGGGAGCTGGTCCATGGGGTCGCAAAGAGTCGGACTCGACTGTGCGACTGAACAACAACAAAATGATTTGAACCAGGGAGCAGACTGTGATTTTAAAATTAGCTGTCTGTCTAACAGAGCATCACACTTAAATACCCCATCTCTAAGTTGTGAACTGTTTGTTGAAGAACTAAGAAGGTCATCAGGAATGGAGTATCTTGATAACAGATTATTAAGAAAACAAGAACGCCCTAAGTCTTTGGATAGCATTGAATTAAAGGACAGTTGATTGAATGAGCCAGAACTGGCAGCTCTGATTTTCTTCCAAGGGTTATTAGTTGTGACCCCACCCTAAGTCCTATATGGAATGCAGGAACTTGCAATTCATTCATTCATTATTGCATTTGCATCCAGCCTTTCCTGCACAGTGGCTCAGGGCGGGTAACATCAAAATTTCAGGTACGATACAATCAATTTTCAGATATTAAAAACATTACGTTTAAAATTTAGATTAAAATGAATTGAACTAAAGATGGCGCCACATCTT